GCATAAAGTCTTTCACTGAAAAAAAAAACAGCTGTAAAATAAATAAAAATCTAATCGAAGTGCCTGCTGTGTAACACCTCCCTCCACTGGCCTAAGACAGCCCTCTTTTGGACCGTGTATGSCCCGCTGGCCACTAGTTGATGGTCACAGTTCCAGCAAGCTTTGTGGCACTGAAAATAAATAATTTAGTCATTGAAAGGGCAGGAATGGCTCCGCCAGTAGAACCACCATAGTACCTATGTTTTGGTGAGTAAACCCTCCTACACACCTGTACAGACAGGTAAACTTCCTGCTCAGGACTAAACACACATGGTGCTGATCTTCATTTTAGTATTAAAATGTTAACCTGAATATGGAGTAGGTCCTAGCAAAATGAAAATGAAAGCCTTAAATATAGTACTCCAACCTCACAAAGATTTGTGCAGTCCAACGCATTTAAAGCTAAAGTGAAGGCAGAAAACTCAAAGGGTTCATTTCAGTCAAACAGTTGCCTAATAGACATTATACACTCATAGTCATTCGGTCCCTTTTTCCGTAGCTGTAGCCAGAGACAAATACACACACAGCCTAGTTTTAACGCAGTCGATTCGTGTCTCAACATGATAAAAAATGTCCACACAGCACAGCTGTGTTTCAGCACAAACATCTGGATCAAACTTACCGTACAAGCTCCTCTCTACACGGCGACACAGAGCTCAAGTCTAACGTCCTCTGCTCCTTTGGTGCCTCTATTGTTATACTTTCACTTTCATTCTGATGCACAAAGGGGGCGGACTGCAAAAACAAAAAAAGTGAAGCTATCCAATCAAAGAAAATAAAAACCATGTTATGAGACGAGTTTTTCTAATTAAAGACATATTTCAGATTTTTCTTTTAAAGCGGGGTGGTTCTGTGAAGACGTCACGCTTAAACAGTATCTTACTTGTTGCAGATGAATGAACCCAGTTTGGAGAAACAAAAGCTGTGTTTGCATGCTCACTGCAAGCTTGTTTRTGCAACATTTCTGTTAAATGAACACAGAACAGACCATCGTTAAGCAGTGTTTGGTTATTAGTGACTCATTGACAGGATAGCAGTCCTGGAGGTGCAGAATTGCCCTCCCCTGATGTAAACAATGTATCAGGGATAGATAAACATTTTAAAAACTTTTGTCTGTCGCAGGGTGAAACAGAAAATTGTCTTTGTTSTAGAGGCTCAGACATATTAAAACACACAGTAAAACACACCACACAGTTTTTCATTGGTTATTTTCTGCCTGTTAGAAACATGGTTCATTGCAGACCTCTGCACCTTGGCAACATGTTTTTGCCTGATATGATAAAATGAACTCACAACAACAACAACAACAACAACAACAACAACAACAACAACAACAACAACAAC